TGCAAAAATGTGTCAGACATCAACAAAACTGTGTGTGTGTGTGTGTGTGTTTAAATTCATATCAAAATGCTTACAAAATGACGAGAATACGTACATCATTTTCAACTCTTATAGATATGAAACATCAAAACAAACAAAAACCATCTAATTGCCGAAAGATACCAACACCCGATTATTTCTCACTGAAAGCGGTTGCTTTACGTCATCTATTTATTCTTTTTTTTGCTTGTTTGCTTGTTTGCTTGTCATTTATCAGATTATTTTTCAGTTTTTGTTGTTGCCAATCGTTGTTATTGATGCTTTTCAACTTTTCATTGCCATGCGAATCGTTTCCTTTGTTTGTCAAACGGAAAGACGCTTACTCTTATCATCTCAAAGTTCCGTTTTGTGTATGTTTCACATTGATTTCTACTTTCCGTGTGGATGCTGAGCGGAAGAATTCGAAGCAAAAAAAACTCATCGATCTCTTATAATACACAGAAAGAAAAAATGTGGTATTTTTAATTCAATTTTGGTAGATTTAATATAAAATCAACCAACAACGAATTAAATTTACCATTTTTGACATCTCTGAGGCATATTTTTCAAAAGTGACTATTTGTTGATAAGTTTTATCAACTGTTTCATTACATTTACCAACTTTTCGAAACCACAGATGACGCTAGCCCATGAATTTGGTGAATGTAATGAAGCAATTGGTAAAACTAATTCAACTGATAGTCTCTTTTGAAAAATATGCCTCAGAGATGTTAAAAATGGTAAATTTAATTCGTTGTTGGTAGATTTTATATTAAATCTACCAAAATTGAATTAAAAATACCACATTTTTTCTTTCTGTGTACGGACATTTTTTTCCAATAGCTAACACTTAAAACCTGATGGGATGATGACAATCGAATAATATGTTAAAATATAACTTGACAAAGCATGAAATAAAATCCAAATGGGAAAGCCCATTTAAACGATGTAATTCAGTGAAAATTTTAAAGCTTCTTTTCTCAAACAAATGGATACACGCTCATTAAAGAGAAAGATAAGTTGCCATAACTTTTCAATGTTTTAAACATTCAATCAATATCGCTATTTTTATATTGATATCTCATATTTTCTCATTTTCTACATGGCACCCCTGAGTTACCGGCGATAATATATTAATGTGTTTATCTCTTTTTTCAAATTCTTGTTTGATACGGAAAAACTTGTTTTTTTTTTTTGTTGATGAAAATCCCTATTCGAAGAAATGAACATATACTATGTAATAAATGGTTCTTGTTCTGGATTGGTGTTGGTTTTTTTTACTTAGTCGTTGGATTTCGCACAATTTTCTCGTCTGAAATTTGTATATATGTTCATTTTTTTATCTGCTTATCCAAAATGTGCATATGAAACACATATACAATCAAAGAGTGCCTTTTCACTTCGCGTGTATTCACTTCAAACGGTAAATGATGATGTACGGAGCAAAGGGACAGTACAAACTCGTCACTCGTAGACGCATAAAATGATAGATTCTGGAACGTATTCACATACACAATTGAGAATAAACCAAAAGAAAAAATGCTGGGCGTAATTTCATATAAATAATTTATGAGTCTAGTTGATTTTACTTTTTCTTTTTTTTCTATTTCAATTTGCATTATATTTCGCATCTTTCGCATAATATTTCAAAATGAGAGTTTCCTTCTCTTTCTCGTTTTTCCACACGCATTTACACAACAGACCGAAACAAACACAAAAATCCCGAGAAGTGCCAGAGAAACCGAGCGCCGAACAAGAAAAAAAAGCACATACCAACACACAAAAGAACTTTGCGAATGAGAAAAGTGGCTAAAACACTAACGCTCCGACAAAAAGAAAGAATTAAATAAATAAAATGAAATGAACCAAATGAAAGAATAGAAGAATGAAAGCAAACTATACAGAACAAAACAAAAACAAGTATAATAATAATAATAAACGCAAACACAAAGTAAAGCACATAAAAAATGCGATGTAAAAATTGGAAAAAAGAAGTAAATGAAATTTCTACATATCTCTTCCATTCTCTTTTCCCTATCGCTCTATTCAAAGTGGTGTGTATGTGTCTCATATTTCCCTACCTGAAATAATGTGTTCCAATGCTCCCATTTAAAGAACGGAGATATTGTTTTGCAAGAGACAAAATGGCATTTACAATTGAATCAGAGAAAATGAAAAGCTGGTGGAGGAACGCGTAAGCGAATGAACAAGTGTGCAGGCAGATGACAAAATAAAAAATTCCTCATAGAGATGTACATGGAATGATAAATTAATTATACCGGGGAAAAAAAAATCCGACCTAAGCGAGCGCCAGCTTATTCAACGACATAAACTTGTTAAGCATTTTGTCACCAGAAATTGTACCTCATTTGCACTCATCCATTCTACCGATATTCTGATATTTATGTGAACATTTTTCGCAATGGTTTTTTCCTTATCTGTTTCATCATCTTGTTTTCTTCGATTTTCATTTCAACCATCATTCGACCCAATGTGCCACGTTTTTAAGATGACAGGGGAAGAAAAGTAATATTTGGAAGAAAAGAGAACAAACAAACGAATCATTGTGGAATGCATTTTGCATTTCAATCTCCATTAAGCTATTAAAACATTTTTGTTACCCACCGCATCGCATAATCTTGAGCAAAAGAATGCGCACTCTCGCCATCCACTAGTTTTCATTTGTTTGTGTTTGTTATCAATTATCATTGAACGGAGTACGGCTAATTCAATTTTAATGCGATTGATATTCGTTGTGGGAAAAGTTTTTGAAAAAGCGATGAAACGACAAAAAGTGAGATTAAATTTAAAACGAAATGACTTATTTGTGTTGTTTTTTATGATGCGAAAATTCGCACATAAATTTAAAATTCAGACATTATTACACTGCACATTGACTTAGATGCTGATAACATGATCTCTTATTTAACTGCATCGTTTTTCCACATTCAATAATTGGGTATTATACTCGCCACTTCTACACATACTTTCTGTCGCGCATCGCCGTATTTTCATTTCATTTCGCCTATTTGGTTCGATAAAAAGACAAAGTTCAAATGCAAAAACCATTTTATGGCTTGCTGAGATGTGCAACACACCCGTATATTACATTATATATAGACATTTAGTTTGCTTTATGTTTCGTGATAGATCCTGATGTGGTGATAGCAAGAGAAAAAAACGGCCTACAGAACAGATTCAGAGGAAAAGAGATAGAAAACTCATATCGAATGAAAATCTCAATCACAAATGCACGGCCAACAACTTGAACGATGTATTTTTATATTCTTGTTCTCAAACGAAATCGTCTCTTGGCAAAGTGGAATCTTTTACAATTTTTGTATCCATCTTCTTTGAGGTGAATCCGTAGAGTCAACATTTTACTCTCATACAAGATAAGATGAATATGCTTCATTTCCAATATATGCAACTTCGGAGTGTGCTCAAGTTTGTATACGATTTTTCCAGGGATAGGTAAAGTGGAAAAGCGAAGAAAGTAATTTGTATTTTGTGGAAAAGATTTCATCGTCTCTATTGACCATTTCTCGTTTCGTATTTCATGTGTAAATTATTCTCGTTTTCTCTCTCACCCACACTTGATGATGAGTCTTTACATAAAAAAAACCAATGCAAAATCAGACATTTTCATTTGGAATTTGCGTAGTTCGATTGAAAACGACGACTACTGTGAAGATATCCCAAGAAATGTGAATTGCAATACATTTAATGCGCTAATACGTAAAATCCATTTCAGTAAGATTCCAAAGATACAGAAAAATCCTTTTAAATTAGTTTTTTTTCCTTCGATTCGCAACTTGTTGATACTCCATTGCTTTTCTGCATTTAAATATTAAAGTTTTTCGTTTTACATTCGACTTTTCTAGCAAAAGAAAAAACTAACGATGAGAGCGACGCTCTTTCTATCCACCTGAACTAATAATTTTTATTTTTATTCTTTTGCTTGCTTTCTTCTCTTATTCGATTCACCATGCATCGTGTTCATTTTGTCGCTTATTCATTTTTTTCGTTTTTTCTTCGTCCTCCTATAACGTTTCTCCGCTCACGACCAAACAGAAAAATGAGATGCTGCGTGTGTAATGCTATAAGCACCACATCAATTTACATCAGTGTATATTTTGCATTTCAGTTGCTTTATTTAACCTTGGCCGTCCTTTTTTTTGGTCAGAAGTGAAAATCTCATGCCAATAAAATGAACGCTTTCTTCATAGTTGACACTTTAATCGGCTCTACGGAGCAGGCGAGCACTTCCGCGCAAACATTTCAAAAGATAAATGAATGAGAAAAATTTATAAACCATATGCAAAGTGAAAATAGTCACATTTATCATACTCAGCACGCGTTTTTAGCATCATCACCATCATTGTCGTCGTCGTCGTTCTCTCAGCACAATGTATTGTTGGGCATTGTTTCTTTCAGTTTGGCTTTGGTTTTCAATTTGTTTAGTTGAGTCGTGCTTTATATAAAATCGTTGTCATATACAACCTTCTATTTATTTGTCGTTAGCCATGTAGTTGAATCGCGTGCGCTGACCTCACTTTGAACAAACATAACAATACAACGCACATATTTTTTGTACTTTTGATGATCTCAGTTTCGTTCTTGATACCAGTCGACTGCGTTCATTCTCAAAGACTTGACAAATGCCTATTTGCAATCATCATCAACAAGCAAAAGCTTCAGGTCATTTTCGTTGGCTGTTTGATGCGTCGTTAATCATGTTTGTAGGGAAGCGTGAAAAATCTGCTTAAAAATATAATTTATAATGTCCTGTTGCTTTTAAATTTAAATTGTGGCATGCGCGCCAGCATAACATTTGAACGCCCGTTTCTCTCTGGTTTGAAGCGAACACAATTTAAATAATTGACACATCATTTCTGATGTAATTGCACACAAAAGTTTGTCGGTTTCAGTTTTTCGAAAAATTTCGCGCAAGTCATGAAACAAAAAAATGAGAAAAATGATTACATTGGCAACATTTTGTGCAAATGACATTTATTTATTTATGACTGGTACATTTCTTTTGGAATTCCATACAAATAGTCAACAGTAATTGTAATTTGCTATGGAATCCCGACATATGATGGAAATGTTTTCTCAATAAGGATATCTTATTGTTCGACGGTTGATTTCCTTGTCTTTGGCACCTTTCAAATAACGTAGGTCTTCATATTTTGCAGCTAATTTATCGTACCTGAAATTAAAGTTTCATTGACTTGAGTATGAAGTTGATTTCGATGATTTTTTTGCATTAAATTTACCTAGTGCCAAGGGTTACGTTGAATCCAACCTTTTGAGCTGCTTTATTTGAACCGTCTGATGTAAACACGCCTGATACCAGCGGTAATTTTAGCTTCTTGCAAATTTCTCTTGTGTTGGATAAAAGATGTTCAGCAATTCCACGTTTACGATGGTTGGGATGAACAACTAATGCACTAATGCCTAGGGGCTTTTATGTTCAAACGTATACTACTTTTAAGGCAAATATTGAAATATAATGCCGCATATCTAGAAAATGCGCAAATAAATGTGTATAACTGCACATATTTGGCGTATATTTCGCATATATTTCGTATATATTTCTTGTATGGCATATTTTTTCATTCTCTTTTGTGCGGTCTTCCTTCGAATGTGTGTGTACAATTGTACACTGTACAATGTCAGTATAAAATACGTATAATTCGGTGCACATTTATGCCGTATATATTCGCATTTATGATGAATAAGACGCGTATATTGTGAATATTTGTGTATATTTTGTATCATAAAAGCCCCTAGACTAATGCTCATGTATTTTTCCACTTTGAAATAATCGCATACGTCAAAATTAAATATAGACGATATTATCGGATTTTCATTTGATTTCTGTAGATATGATGTTTTTTTGTGTCCATATAACTTGATCGTCAACAAAGAATAAAGATAGAAATTGTGACATTCACCTTTTGCGGTTTTTTCTCCTGTTTTTCCATCGCAAAACCAAAAAGAACACCAACAAGTTCGTTTGTTTTGGTATCAAAACAGCCCAAGTTTTCACCTTGTGCCAAAAATACTATCCACTTATCGGTGAATGAATCTTTATTATTGACATTGCCTATCAAATTTTACAATATTAATTTAATTGATGTAATCACTTCAGATAGATGTACATGAAAAGAAAATACATACCAAGTAGTTGATTCAAAGGTTCATCTCTCAGATAATAATCATTAAATAGCTTAATTACATCTAGACATCTTAATTCTGGAATATCTCGAATACTATATTCGGCAATCACCTTTCCTTTTTTATTTTTGACGGAAAATGTTTCATATTCATTTTGAGACGCCGAATCGATTGTATTTTTGCCTTTCGATTTTTCGGTGTTTTCTTTTTTATTCGGTGCTGCGTCGATTATTGCCCAAATAACGCACGTTATAACGACCATCAAAATGACACATTTTCGGTTAAACATATTTACGTTAATTGGTTATCGATAAGAATATCTATTCAAATAATTGTAATCAACTGAAAAATTGATGCCAAAGTGTTGTCTTATATAGAAATAAAATAACATCTGTCGTTTTTCGGAAATATTTAAAACTTGTTATTGTTCTCATTTTTGTAACACACATGCTGTTGTTTTCCTATAAAAAACATCTTCAGAACTCATTTGACAAACCGAAAACTTGGAATTTAAGTTATAAATGTAATCTATTGCGATACACAAGCGATACAAGCTATAGGTTATTGTCGCAACCCTCACCAACACACATTCGATGTCATATTTTTCATTGACGTTATTTTCGTGCGCAATAATCTCATCTGAATGCGAATGAAAATGTTTCTCGTGGACCGCTTCACGTGGTCTCCTCACATTGCTGACGATAAATTTGCGATAAAAAAGCGAATAGCGAAAACTTGGCGTATGGTGCAGTGATGAACGTCAAGCATAAATTTGCATTTCGAATTAAAGTTCATAAAACCAAAAAGCACATCATCAGCAATAGTGGCAAAAGCGGCAGCAATAAGCAGCCAAAAGTCATTTAATATATTAAAGAGGAAGCGAGATAGTGACAAGAGGACGATGGATAAAAAATTATTGAAACGAAACCAAAAGGAAACTCTCTCTAAATCTAAAGCTTAAACGTGTACGAGCAACAGAGAGAGAGAGAGAGAGAGAGAGAGAGAGAGAGAGATAACAAAACAAAATACATTGGTATACTTCATCCAATGTGTGTCGGCAAACGAATGCGCGCAATCCGGAAAATTTATAGAACTCATTTCAGTAATTGGAGTTTGTTTCCTCTCATCTCTGTCAATCGTAATGTCAAGTGATTTTGTCCAGTAGGTTTTCTCTCTTTGGCAGGTACAGAGAGAGCGAGATATTTTCATTATTTTTCGTAACACAATAATAAATACTCTATGTATCATTCTGGCGCTTCCAATTTCTGTCTGTTCGGTTCTTGTTCGCACCCAAAATGTATGTGAATGGATGGCCAGGCAAAGAATGCTCATCAAAAAAATGGAGATAAGTAAACCGAACATAAATTACTTTGAATAAATATTTGTGCTGGGCGAGTGAGAGATTCAACATAAAATGCAGCACTTGTTTTACCCCCAATGGATCATTCATTGCTCACTGTGTGAATTGGTGGTGGTGTTTGTGTGTCGATTCAATCCGAATGCGAAAACACACTACCGATTATTGCCTATTTTTTGCATATATAATTTGGTAGAGTTGACCAGGACAAAAAAAAAAGAATATGCTTACAACACGGTCAGTCTATAGCAATTTTCGCAGTATATGCTACGATTGGACGCAAATGCGACTGTCATCAGATCATTGCTTTTTATACTGTTTTTTATGTTGCAATATTCATCTTTTTTTGGCACTTGACTTGGTTTTGCTTCAAAAAGACCATTCAATGATTTTGTTTCGGCCTAGACATGATTTTAGGGGATCTTTATCGTGGATACATTTACATATCCGAATTTGATTTTTGGCTGACAGCGTCATGTATCTTTCCACAAGTATCTATATAGATATATATGTGTACCAAACAATATCAGCTTTGAAACGCCAAAACAAAAAAAGCATGTATATGGAAGTCGAAGTTCATTTCGCATCTGCATAATCTCAAAAATGACACATATGGGAGCTTATATATACATATACGTCATTGTGTCGTTCTCAACCTAATTTTTGCCAGTCGCAAAACGAACACACACACACGATCTCTGCTTGTATCGCTTAGGTCATTGTTTGTGTATAAATTATCCATTGTGGTTTTACTTAACGGCATAGAACATGTGCTTTCTTTCCCATCAACAATCAACTCGGGAAGAAACGAGTGCTGCTGCCAAACGTTGCCGCTCATGCTTGGCTTTGTAATTGAATGCGTTGGTATCAATTTCTAATTACGAAAACATTTTAAACAAAACATATATCGGTCCTGTCTCAATTTGTTCTCTCTTTTACCGGCGAGATAACACAGTCTGCAACAGCAGCGGCATTGATGATGATGATGATGATGATGATGGCAGTGGTGGTAGTGGAGACAGAGACAATGAATACCCCAGCCCGCGAAATAGAGAGTGAAAGAGAGACTTGGAGCAGCAGCATTTTACGATATTTCTATCCCTACAACCTACATATACATAATATTTTCAGTAGAGGTTAAAAGTTTATCATTGGAAATGGCATCTCTTGTTGGCATCAGGATTATGCACTGCACAAACGATATATTGAAAGAGAGTGAGTGAGACCTCACGACACATATACAAAATGCAATTCATTAAACGAAATGTTAATTAAAAACTTGGACTCCTTTCTTTGTCACTAACGCTGTATCAACGTGTTACTTGTTAGCGCATCATGTGTGTATTTGTATTTGTCTGCGTGTGCATCAGCTCCATTTTGTTCAATGTACTCGAGAGATAGAGAGAAAAATCGTCGATTCTTTGATAGCATTTTAATTATAGTATATATAATGAGTGCAGAAAAGTGATTGAACTATTTATCGTGTGCAGTTAGTGAACGTATATGTGTGTGTTTCGTATCGGAATAAATTTCGCCATTATATTTGAACAATTTACGGATTCGATAGACGTAAATAATGACAGAACAAAGATACAAAAATTCAATAGCAGATGAACAGATGATGATAATTTGCACGCTTCGTCTGCATCGAAATATTATTCAATGGAAATGATTTTCAGCGTCCACTTCAATCATTCTTCGCTTTTGTTTTATTATTTTTCTCCCATCTTGAATGGTTTTTTTTTTCATACTATTTGTGCCCACCATTTATATATTCTGCCTTCGATTCATTCAGAGATCGAAATGCATTAGCGGCGCATTTTTTTCTCACTTTGAAAATTAACTCGATATAATAATAAATGAAGGGCAAAAAAGAAAAAAGACAAAAGAACAGATAGAGGGCTGCTAAGACAAAATAAAAGCAAACGAATATCCTATCAGTCGTCGGCGATAGCGTGTATAACATTTCTAAAATAAATGATTCGTACAAATATTGCGTATGATCCGAAATGCGATAACGGCCATCATCATCAACAAAATTCGGCTCTTTCACTGGCTGTCTCTGTCTGTTTTGTGCCCTCTGATGCTTCTTCGGTCGATTGCCTCGATACGAAAATGAAGAAGAAAATCGACAATTCCAGCCAACTCATTGCATATCTTTCAAGCCAAACAAAAGTCGAACCAAACGAAATGAAAAATATTAATTCTGATGACGTTGATAAGACGCGATTCGAAGCGAGCGTAATAAATCCATATTTGTTCGCTTGATAAAATGAAATGAAACTTTTCATCGAAAAAAAAAACAACAACAACCGAAAGAAAAATTGTAACTGAAAACCAGGCCATCACACGCAACGAAACGAACCAAATGAACAGTGAATATATCGCATAAAATGCGCGCCGTCAATGCCATCAACATCGCCATTGCCGTCACCATGCAAGTGTATCTTTTGGTCCGTATCATCCGATCCAGACATTTACAATACGATTCACAATACGATCGAAATGAAGAGCGGTAATGGTTGTTTATCAAATCTCAATGCAAAATGACAAACGAATTGAATTGCTCGCGCTCATAAGACAAAGACCGATATATAGAGAAACAGTGTGTTGTGTGTATCGAAAAGGGAACGAAATCAAACAAACAACCACTCATCAAATCGAAATTGAGCAACTTATTCAAGTTTCTTGTTCGGTTTTTTTTTCTTACTCAACGCACATAAAATATCTTGATGCCTGAAGCCTTAGAGACAAGACAAACTTAAGTACGAAAATACAATATATACGACATGCAACAATAAAAAAAATGGCAAAACAAACGAAATTCCAAAATATGCAGATAGAGTAAAAGAATCTCTTCTACCAACCATTTCGCCAAAGCAGAACAATCGAATTAAAGCTTAAAAATGGCGAAAACCAGGCAACGAGAGAAGAAGAAGAAGAAAAAAACAATATTGCGTACACAGTGAAGACGATGAGAGAAAAGAAACTCAAAAATCAAGCATACAAATTCGCTGGGAGTAGAAAGTGTTTGGTTTCTTAGTTCGAATAGTGAAGTATGCGCTCTCGAATCACACAAAGCCCGAGTGCAAAATGAAGCAGCAGCCGTTGAGAGAAACAACAAAAATGATTGCATATACATAAATATTAGATTTGGTATTGTCGAAATTCTTATCGAATTCCCAAGTTCAAATTTCACAAGATCGAAGATAAAACAGCGCACAAACCGAAATACACTGACTGTTTGTGCTCATACATATAATGGAAATTCAGTAAACTTGGGCACACTAAAATAAATCTCAATATATATCTATATATCTATAGATGAATCCCTTCTCTCTATCTCGGAGAAAATATAAAACAAAAGAATAATACGACTTAGTTTTTGTTTATTATGAGAAACAGGAGAGCATCTCTCTTTCTATGTATCTCTCTGTTTCCTTCTCTCTATATACGTATCTCCCTACCTCTGTAATATTTCCGCGTGCAAATTACGTTATCCAACCGGATCGATTTCGTTTTCGTTGTTGATGACTTGTCCATTTTGATTTCGGATTAGTGTAAAACGATTCCCACTATATTGCCCAATTCCCAGTTTCTGTATGTATTTCTCTCCATCGACTTCAACTCACAGGAACACTTTGAATATTGATTAGGAAATATGTGTTGCAGCACAACGATCTTATGTTCTTGTTTTTTAACGAAAATGATACCTGGTTGCTTTGGTGAAAAATTGCGTATTTCATCGTTCCGAATGGACAATGGTGAAAATTGTCTACGTTATCATAGCATTATCAGAAATACCATTTCACGAATACAAGAGAGAATAATAACGGTGGTTCAAAAATGTGTTTTTTTTCTTCTTCTTCTTTCTCTGTTAAAACGTGTAACGAAGCACAAAAAAGCGTAACGAAGAGAAACATTAGATCTTCAAGAGAGAAAGAGAGAAACATGGAATAATATGAATAAAA